TATGCTTTATTCTAGTCAATAATTAAATAACCACCTCAATGAGCCGCACCTTTGATGAGTGGGAATTTTGGTGGCCGAGATCCATTTGGTCAAATGGACTTATTTCTTGATCAAATTCAGAGCTCGGCTTATTCAGTTCCTTTTGTTTACTTTTATTTTTCTCAATTCTTCCGTTCGTTCTTTTAGTTGTCCACTTTATAGGATTCAAAAATCAGATGAATTAATACCTCCAAGAGCAGATGAAGTTTTTCCTCAAATTGAAAACTAGACCCTGTGGGAACTACCACTTTCCCAACATGTCTCATTTTACTGGTCATTTTTCCATTTGTTTCTGGGCCATTTTTCCCATATTATTTGGAGAGGTTTGATTATAGTTCCCTGCGAGGATTTGGTTATGGTTCACTCATTATTTGCGACAACTTCTCAAAAGCAAAGTGAATGGGCACAAATATCAACTTTGCTGTTGAATTTTGTTTCAAGGTGAATGATGGTCACTAGAATTTCGACTTATTCACACTTTTTATTTTGCTCTATATGGTTTGTTAATTATGTGTAGTTTCATAGGTATCTGTTTCCAAGGCTCGTGCAATAATTGTCCTTGCTGAAGATGGGAATGCTGACCAGGTTACCTTAATGAAGAAATTGATGCATCTGATGTTTGGTATCGCATTGCAGTTTTAACTTAAAGGCCTTATAATTGGTGCAGAGTGATGCCCGTGCACTTAGGACAGTCTTAAGTTTAACAGGAGTAAAAGAAGGACTGCGGGGACACATAGTGGTGGAATTAAGTGATCTTGATAACGAGGTCCTTGTTAAACTTGTGGGTGGAGATCTTGTTGAAACTGTTGTGGCACATGATGTAATTGGTCGCCTAATGATTCAATGTGCTCGACAGCCAGGCCTTGCACAGGTTTATTATTAGTTACTCTATATCCTACAATTCTTTTTTGAATTTTCCAGAAAATCTTGTTTCAGTGTTTACCATTGTTTTCTCCAGTTGTTTTCGAGGTCAAACTATCTTTATTGGATGCAAATAAGTCTTAGTCTGAGATCTTTCTTGAATGTTTGTGTGACATGTTTGTTTTTCTTCCTCATGAACTGGACCATTACAGATCTGGGAAGATATCCTTGGGTTTGAGAATTGTGAGTTCTACATTAAAAGGTGGCCACAGTTGGATGGTATGCAATTCGAAGATGTACTGATCAGCTTCCCTGATGCAGTTCCTTGCGGAGTCAAGGCCACATCCTGTGGTGGAAAAATTATTTTGAATCCCGATGACTCTTATGTTTTACAAGAAGGTGATGAGGTTCTTGTCATAGCGGAGGATGATGATACTTATTCTCCCGCAACACTGCCTACGGTGCTTCCCTTTTCTTAGAACATAGTATTTTCAAATGAATTGCTTGTCATTTTATATTATTGCTCATGAACTCCATTGTGCAAGTGAGGTAATTCCTTTGAGATTTCAGCTATGCAAAGCCAGTCTCTATTTGACTTTTAGTAGTTGTGAGACTGAGGGTGTAGAAGCATGTATAGCAGAAGAAATGAATGAATGATTGAATAAATGAGAGGATGAATGGCTGAACTTGATTTAGTCTTTAGCGTTGGTATGGATCTCGGGAATACTTTGCATCTGCTTCAATTTAAAGACATTTTTATGAATTGAGCTTTTAACCCTGTGGTACTTGATTCGCCTTCTAGTCACAATCTTTATATTGTGTCCAAAGATGATCATCTCAATATGTCAATTAGCATTTATATGCAAAATAGAAATACTAGATGCCATTATTTGTAAGATATGATGTTATTGTGCCAGGTTCTATTTGTATTTTGTGTTTGCTTCCTAAACTGTTCAAGGAGTCAAGTGACATCAATTTACTTGCATTAGCTTGGGTGAATTTGTATATATATATATATATTTTTTTTGTGGTGGAGAGGGGTGGCGGTGGCTTGGTTTCTATGAGGACTCTTGAATACCATCACGCTGAGTTTTTGCACAGTAATTGTCATGTTGATTCCTGAGCTTTCTTGTTTATGCTATGGTTTGTTTGTGGTTTTTTAGTCTAGAGATTTTTCTTTATATAATGGTTTATCCAGACTATATGCTCTAGGGGGTAGTTGTGTGAGATATTTCGATTTGCATTGAGGGGTTAGATAGGGTTAAAGGAGGAATTGAGAGAGAAAATGAGTGATCTAAGAAACAAATTTAAGAAAGTGGTGTTTAAGGAACAAATTTCATGGAAACAAATGGTCAAAGATCTAGGCAATAATTTGAAACTGTTTTCATAGAGTGAAAAATGAGGGGAGGAAGAAAAATCTTTTGGATAAATTGGTGGGCGGAGATGGGATCATTTTTGAGGAGGAAGAGAGGATTGAAAGAGAGATAATTAGCTTCTTTGAGAAATTCTATTCAGATGAAGATATTAAGAAGCCAATGAGCGAGAGGAGTGCTTGTTGGCTGGAGAGACCTTTCTAAGAAAGTGAGGTGAAAGTAGCCGTATTTGAATGCATAAGGATAAGGTACCGGGCCAGAGGGATTTTCAATGGCAGTGTTGTAAGATTCTTGAGATATCGTCAATGATGGTTTGATGAATGCGTTTAGGGAGTTTTTCAAAAAATGGGGTGGTGAATGTTAACACTAATTGGACCTTTATTTGTTTGATTTCAAAAAAGCAAAACTCTTTGATGATAAATGATTTTAGGCCTATCAGTTTGATGACTAGTCTTTATAAGATCTTGACAAAGGTTTTGTTGGAAAGATTGAGAGAGATCTTGGGGGAAATTTTTTTTAAGTGTCAAACAATCATATGCTCCAAAAGTTTAAACTATTGGAGAGAGTGTAACTTAAATATTTATACTTCAACATGCTCCCGCAAGCTAGATTTTAGGCCTAGCACATAGAAATATTTTTGATATTTAGGGTGGAAGTAAGATTTGAATATATGATCTCCTGTTCTGATGCCATATTAAACATTTATCTACTCAAAAAATTGAAGTTGTTGGAGAGTGTGTAATTTATGTATTTATACTTCAACATTAAACATCAAGAGGCATTTGTCAAAAGAAGCTAAATATTAGATATTGTTTTGATTGAAAATGAAATAGTAGAGAATTACATAGCTAATGAAAATGATGTGATTTTTAAGATTGATTTTTGAGAAAAAGTATGGTAATGTGGATTGGGATTGTTTGGATTATGTATTAGACGTTAAAAGGATTTTAGAAGTAGATAAGGGAAATTGGATTATGAGGTACTTGAGATCAATGAATTTTTCGGTGGTGATTAATGGAAAATCAAGAGGAAGATTTAATGCTAGTAGGAGCTTTAGGCTGGGTGATCCTTTTTTACTTTTTTTCTTCACTTTGGTAATGGATGAGTTTAGCAGTTTAGTGGGAAGAGCGAGGAAGTATTATTCAATTTTTAGGGTTTTAGGGTGGAAAGCGATCTAGTGGACATTTCACATTGATAGTTTGCAAATGATACTATTTTTTTTTATGTCAAGGGATAAGGATAGGTTTTAGAATTTAGTGAATGTCATTTGAGATTTTAGTTTTGATGTTGGGTTTGAAGGTGAATATGTCTAAGAGACTAGTAGTAGGAATCAACACATATTTGAGGTTAGATAGAATTGTTGGCAGAATAGATTGTGAGGTAGGTGAATGGCTTTTCAAATATCTAAAACTACCTTTGGGGGAAATCTTTTAGCAGTGTGTTTTTGTAATCCCGTTGTTGCAACGGTTCAAAAAATGTTGAAGGGGTTGAAGAGGGCTTGTTTATCAACGGAAGGGAAACATACCATAGTTCAATTAGTATAGGGTAGTATCCCCATTTATTTTGTCTTTTTTAAGATTCCTAAGAAGGTAGCTTTTGTATTAGAAGAAATGATGGGAGACTATTGTGGGAGGGAAGTTGGGTAGGAAACAAGGATCATCTTGTTATGTGGGAGATGGTGTCTAGCTCAAAAAATAAATGGGGACTGGGTGTGGAAAATTTAGTAAAGGAAAATGGTTGTGGAGGTATCTGCTAAAATAGGATTCTTTATGACGTGATGTTATCAAGAGCAAATATGGACTCCATCCCAAGTGGAACTCAAATGTAATGGTTTGAATTTTTTTTCATTGTCCTTGGAAGTTTATTTCACAATGTATAAATAATTTCTTGAAAAATGTGCGATTGAGGATAGGAAATGGTGAGACAATTCACTTTTGGAAAGATAAATGGTGGAGGATTCTACTTTTAATTCATTATATCCTTGTCTTGTTAGATTATCCTGAAACCAAGAGGCTTCCATTGCAAGCATGTATAATGTGCCTCCTTTTCAAGCAGGTGAGATTTCAATTTATTTAGAGCTTTGAATGATAGGGAAGTGGGGAAACTTTCCTCTTTGTTGTCCTTTATTTAACTAGTCTCAATTGAGTCTGAATTGGATAACAAAGGATTGTGGTGCATTTATCATTCTAGTATTTTTTCATGCAAATCTTATTTCTCTATGCTAATTGATGATCCATCTTCTTCAATTTCGGAACCCCATTGGATGATTTACAAGGCCAAGGCGCCTGTTAAAGTATAGGTGTTTGCTTGGACTATGGCTCACAGTAAGACCAATACCTTTGACTTATTGCAAAAAAGAAGACCTAATTCTTGTTTTTCTTCTCAATGGTGCGTTATGTGTAGAAGGAGTTGTGAAAGTTTGGATAACCTTTTTATCCATTGTCATGTGGCCTTCAAATTGTGGCATAAAGCCATTGAGAGTTCAACTTGAGTTAGAGCTCCAAGATATTGTGTTTCTTTATTTGAGATCAATCATGATATTTTTGGAAAGGGATGTAGATCGTCCGTGTTGTGGGAATGTGTGGTCGTGACAATTATTAGGGTGGTATAGATGTAAATGAATAGATGAATTTTGAGAGCTAGGCATTCCTGATAATGGACGAATTTATTGGAGGACAACAATGCTTCTTTTAATACTGCTCGCACAAAGGAGAGCTTGTATCTTATATTGAATGATTACGATCACCCAATGTTAGTTCAAATGCTTGAGGGGCTACTACATTGCCAATTAATTTTGGGTTGAATACTCTATCATGGTATCACAGTTGGCCTTAGGTGGTCAGTGGGCTGGGTCTCTTACTCATTTGAATTTTTTGGTATGTATGTTTGTCAGTTTGTTTGTTGGTCCCACATGCTAACGTGTGTCCCACATGAGAGAGGGTGTAAAGAGTTTTTATCCCATGTCGAATGATTAGGATCACCTAAGGCTAGTTTATGTGCGTGAAGGGCCTCTCACATGTATAGCCAATTGGCTTAGGGTTGAATGCTTAACATGATACAGTTTAACATAATAGAAACCAGCACATTGAGCAACATTTCAGCAAATAAAAGCTGATCAAGGGTTCGTTTTGTATTGCCCTTCGTGAGATGAAAAGATTAGTTGGATGATGTTTTCACTAGGGGCTCAATAAGTTTTTTAACTCCATTGTTTGCAAGTTGGACATGTGGGATATGTATGCACTAACTTGAGCTGGTCTTCTGACGTGTTATTGGTGGTATTCTAGCTGGGGGATATTTACATACACCATATAACCCCTTGTGCATATTATATGCTCTAGGGTGTAATTATGTGAGATATACACTGGTCTTTGTTTCTCTCTTGCTTTCTGTTCCCTGTTTTTTTCCAAAATTGCTTCTTCTCCATACCCTAAAATCTTATAATCTAACTTATCTCTTAGGCGTTGGACAAAGAATCATGTTTATTCAGACTGTGTCCTGTACTTTAGAGAACTTAATACTGGTAGTTCTAATCAGTACGGGGTTCATACAAATTGTATTTTTCTTTCCCCTTTTGTCTTCCTTAATTCTTGTTTTTGCTTTTCATTTTTGGTGAAAGAAACATGGTTATGAAATGGCATAAGGACTGCCTTTTATGTGTGCATTCTCTGTGGTTGAAATAAACTTGCTAAAGGATGGGGAAAATGGAAACAATAAGTCACGATAGGCTGGCCACTATTGAAGAAATGCTCAATGGAATTTAAATGGGTGTGGCCATAAAATAAAACTTACAGAAGTAGAATCAATTTGGTCATTCAGGTCAATGAAGCACCATTCATACACATAGCCCGACCAGCAAGAAAGCCACAGAAGATTCTACTTTGTGGATGGAGGCGGGACATTGATGATATGGTTGTGGTAAGTTCAGTCTGTCAAAGCCCCTAATCCTTCTTTTCTTCACCTGAATGCTGCAGGCCTGGAGAGGAAATCTACCCAAAGACTTCATTATTCCAAAGTCTGCTGAAAAAATACTTTTTTGTGGTTGGCGTCGAGATATGGAAGATATGGTTATGGTAATGTTCCAGGAATCTGCTGTATGCTTCTATTACTTCAGCAGGGACTGTTCTGCATGTGCCCAATGTTGTGGTGGACATGTTGGAAATATTTCTGAATTTCCTCAATGTCAATGTTACTTGACTTGCAGTCTTGCCATGCCATTTTGGCATTTTCGAAAATCTTCACTTCCTACATCTTTCTTGATGCCACAGAAAAATTTATACTTCTGTAACTTCAACATCATCTACCCTCTGCTGTATTTTTTAGGTGTTGGATGCCTTTTTAGCTCCTGGTTCAGAGTTGTGGATGTTCAACGACGTTCCTGAAAAGGAGAGGGAAAAGAAGCTTATTGATGGTGGTCTTGACATCCACCGGCTGATGAATATATCACTTGTTAATCGTGAAGGAAATGCTGTTATACGGCGTCATCTGGAAAGCCTTCCTTTAGAATCTTTCAATTCAGTAAGTTTTTTGAAATTTAAATCATCGTGAGCAGCATCTTGTATAGGCTACTATCAAGCAGTAGCTACCTCCTGTTTCTAGGGCTCGGGAAAAGTGTTTATCATCCTTTCTTAGTTTAGGCATATATTGACTTGATTCCTGGTTTGCACAAATCTTAATTTTGGACGACGAAAAAGTTCAAATTTCAGCCATTTGGCTGATTTCTGATCTTTTTCCACATTGCCAGTGATTTTTCGACCCTTTCTTAGTGTAGGCATACACTTATGTGTTTTCTTTTGTACAGATCTTAATTTTGGCTGATGAATCAGTAGAAGATTCTGCTATTCAGGCTGATTCCAGATCTCTTGCCACATTGCTGCTGATTCGTGATATTCAGGTACTCCATTTGAAGCATAATCTTTTGCCCAGCTTTTTTGGTACTTATACTGTCTTCCATTCGTCTTCTCTTTTGGATGTTACTCCTTCTAACCTATCCTAGTAAGAGCACACTTTTGTATGTGGTCGATCAAAGACTGCGGATGCATCGGTTTCCTATCTGCTTCTCCTTCTTCAATACATGTAGTTTGTCCTTGTTTCCCTACAAGCATGCATTACTTGTGAGGATCCAGTAGTCAGTTGGCAATCATGATATAATTTTTGACTTGGTAATTCACCACTTACATATCAAACTAGTGTTTCTCACTTGTAATTAGATTACTGATCAATCTTTCCAATGCATGTGCCATCCCCATATTTGGTGACATAATCTTCTCGTTGTGGGGTAATCTACCTTAGGTATGCTGTCTGTCTCTCTTATTGTTTTTAATCTAAGTTATAAACCATGCATACCTCGTTGCAGCTTTCTGTGCTTCTAACATCTTCATATAATCTCTTCCCTTTGCTTTTCTCTCTCATTAACACCTACCTTGAAGATAAGATGATTTTAAGTAGTTTATCTGTGCAATTGTGGGGCTCTAATTAAATAGTTTTACTATTTTCTCATTTTAATCTTTGGAATATGCCGTCGGTGAACATCTGTTAGAATTTTTGTTGTTCCATCATTATTAATGAATGCAATCTAAAAAAAAACTTATTTTCATCTCTTTTAACAGCACTGCCATTTTATTTTATAAAATTTCATGGGAAGCTTGAATAGAGTTGCTGCATGCATAACTTAAATATGCGCTTGTCTATTGTATGTATCATATATGATTTGTCAATTTTCTCTCTCCTCGTTCACCTGGCATTTGCCCTTTAAATTATGTATTTACCTTTCTGGTTAAATACTAATAACTTCATATATAGACAACCATTTCCTTTCTGGTGTTTTTGGATAAGTTGGATGGTTTTGAAGAGATTTGGGTACAAAAAAACCCTGTCTTCGCTTGGTTGATGGATACTGAAGGTGTTAGGGGTCTGAAAATGATAATGGAAATTGGAGTGGAGGAATACACTGACCAAATATCTTACTCCAGATACATCTTTAGGTTTAGTTTCTATTTCTTTTAGTATCATTCTCACTATGGCAAGGAATTAGTGACCTAGCAACCCATCCTTTTGCCGCTGCTTCCATCACCACTGCCACCACCAGTGCCACTTCACAACACAAGAATGACTCCAACACAATTTCCACTTTTGGCTCCATCATCTCCACTTTGAAAGAGATAGAGAATGTATACTGTTTTTACTCCTTCAGAAGTGTTATTTCTCTGACTAACATGTATTTCTGGATCAAATCCTCATATTTTTATATCATCTAATGGCATCAAGACCCACCCAACCACTTCTCTTTGGCTTTCCGGGAGTTTTGACAAGTCACCATTTTGACAGGTTGATATTTTATGAATTTTCTAAGTGGCGTCCAAGGCCTGCGAGGATGGAATTTAGGAATGAAAACTTCCTAATCCTCAACTAACTCAAGCCACTTGATCTCACCTTTTGCGGTTTTAAGCTCTAAAGTTAGAATTATCCTCATGTAATCTTTCTTTGTGCTTTGCAGGCCAAGCGTCTCCCATACCGAGAGTCCTTGGTTTCCCAAATTCATAGAGGTAGCTTCTCACAAGGCTCTTGGATTGGGGAAATGCAGCAGGCTTCAGATAAATCGGTGATAATTAGTGAAATTCTCGACCCAAGGACTAAAAATCTATTGTCCATGTCAAAGATCAGTGATTATGTTCTATCTAATGAACTTGTCAGTATGGCATTGGCCATGGTTGCAGAGGATCGCCAAATCAATGATGTATTGGAAGAGCTTTTTGCAGAAGAGGTAATGTTTTCTGTTCCTTGATAGATATGACTACACCATATCATTTTTTTTTTAATCAAATGCTCTATGATGGATGTGAGGAGTCAAACAGATGATCTAACTTTAATCTATGTACTCCTTTGTAATAACTGTTTTAAAACCCCTTATATAAATGGAAACAATTTTTTTGTTCAAAAAAAAAAAAAAAAAATGGAAACAATTTGAGAAAATCTAATCTCCATTGTGCTTGATGGTTGAAGCATTAATATTATCGCAGTAGGGAAAGGCCAGGATGATATGACTCTTAAAGAGGAATATTTTTTACAAAAAGGAAAAGAAAGTCTCAATTTAATATTTCCTAGTTAATTCAACATAATTTAAAGGAGCAGACACTAAAATTTGAACATTTGCTCATATAATATGAGTATCAGGAAAGACCTTTGCAATAATGAAAATGGTCAAGTTCTTTACCTCACATCTGTGAGGTGAATAAATCTACATAAGGAACAGATTCAGGGTGATCATATGAACAGGCCAATAAGAAACGAAAACAAATGATTGAAACATTAAGTAAAATAATAAATTCTGTTCAATAATTAGAAAGCATATAAATTGGCTAAAAACACAAGGTCAACAAAGAGTTCCAACTTATTGTTAATGGGTTCATTACGCAGTTTAAAACCTAAATTTCAACTTATCAGTACTTCATTCAATCCCTATAAATGTTAATTTGTCAAATAATCGTCCTACTGGTGGTTCTTGATTTTCCAATTCAGAATGATTTTTTTCCCATGTATTCTCTGGTAAGACCTCAGTGGACCTTTTGATTTACCAGGGAAATGAGATGCATATAAGGCAAGCAGATCTCTACCTTCGTGAAACTGAGGAACTGAGTTTCTTTGAAGTACTCTTGCGTGCCCGACAAAGGAGAGAGGTTGTGATTGGTTACCGTTTGGCTAATGCAGAGAAAGCTGTCATCAATCCCCCGGCCAAAAGTGAGAAAAGGAGGTGGTCATTGGAGGATGTTTTTTGTGGTAATAGCTGAGAAAGAATGAGAACTTCTTATTCTGCATCTCATTAAGCACCCAGTTACTGGAACGATGATTGCAATCTTGACAATCAGATTTAGAGAATCAGAGTTCTTCCAATTTCCAAGCAAGACTGTTTCTGCGCCAACATGCTCACGAAACAAAGTCCCAAGCAGACCTTCCATGTCAAAATTTACTTTAAAGTTATGGCATGTTGTTCAGATATTTTGGATAACAACATGGCTACAATTGGGGATCAAGATAATTTTGGGCTTCATGTGCTGCTTCATAGATCATACCTGACGCCCTACACCATCACGTGGAATCGTTCCTCTTGATACTATTAATGCAGATAGAATTCAACAGGAGGATAACCTTCTGCCAAAAATTTGATGCGCCAATGAGCTAAGGCAAGTTATGTATCATTTAAATGACAGCTTTTCTTTTATGGATGTAAATAGATCATGGTTTTGTTGGTCAATAAAATGAGTAATAGTGAATTGTACTATTGTTTTTTGTGTGTGATGTTTTATATGAATAATTTGTTGAATCTACATTGTTTTAGTGGTTTATCCAGCCGTACTTTGGAAAGAACCAAGACCCAAAATTACACAGCAGAATGGTTGACTGAAGCTCTGTTTGAGTTGGGAATGTTTACACCACCAAGTCCTTGGGCGACAGATTAAATTCAATATGAAAAACATGTCACGTGTGCGAGGTATCCCATGCACATGAGTTATTTTTAATATCGTTCGTCAGTGATGTGGTATTATCAGGACATTAAAGCTGCGTTTGGTTCGTGGTAGTAGACTAAGGGAATGGAATGAGTATTAGTTGGTAATGAGCATTGCTTTGTTTGGTTTGTGGTAATCAAAATTCTTTCCCATTCCTTCTCATTCCAAAGGAATAACTAATCCCACAAAATATGGGATTACCCATTACCAAATAAAACATGGTATTCCCCATTCTCAATGACTCGGTAATGAACCCAAATTCATAACTATGAATACCCGACTCTTCCCGATTCCATTGTTGCGTTTTCTTTTATTGAATTGCACCTCCCTCCCCAAATCTCTCCTCTCCTCCACTCCTCTGCTCACCTCTCAACTCTTCTCTACCAAGCCCCATGCCATTCCACCCCTTCTTTCATCCCCTCTTACCTACTCTCTGTCTACTTATCATCGGTTTTTGAAGCAAGGGGCAAAATCAACGACGAAGACCATCATAGACTCGACGAGAACCGACTTTGATCACCAATCTCAGTTTTTTCATTACTCTTAGTCAACAATTGCATGTCTGTGAGCAACCTTTATTAGTTAAAGTATGATAAGGTATGGTGGGATTTGGGTAATGTTTTTGATATTTTGGTGGAATTTCTTTGTGTTGTTGTCTTGATCAATGGGTAATTGTTGTGCGTATACAGTTGCATTAGTTTTTGAACTTATACAGCTAACTTTGTTGGGAATTCTATTAGGCAACCAAGCTAAATTAGTGGACGTAGTAATGTCCGAAACCTGTTTGATGATAGTCCTAAATGAGAAAAGGGTTGATTTATGGAGGGTATTTAATTCATGATGTGAATCACAGAGGACCGGGGGATGAGCTGTTTTCCTATATCGATCATTAAATGCTTTTGAAAAACAAGCAATACAAATTGGATAAGCTGTTATTTTGTCAAGTAATAAATCAAACATGGATTGCGTATGATTGATGGATTTTTTAATATTTCAAGTGATACTAGAATGTCATATGCTATTCATTTAATAAGTAATTTGTTTTATGAATATCAAACTACGTCCAGTTGGTTGTAGTCAAAAGTAAGACTAATACGATGTTGCTACTACAATTCTTAAGATGTTAGAAGTTGAGTATCTAGCTGCAAAGGGAAAGACTAGGACCTCTTTTTTCTTGGGCCATCATTTTTGTGGTGTATTAGGCATTTTTAAGCTTCTAGTATGTGTTTGATCAACCAATTTCATGTATCCCGATAGCAAGCTTCATGTATCCAATCAAGAGTTTTTGGTATTGTTTGAAAAGAAATGTTACAAAATTAAAAGCTCCCAGTTTTGAGTTAGATTTTTTTGTCGGTTGGTATCGGATCATTTGATAGAATGTTTATATGCATGAAACCAATGGCCAAAAGTGGCGTGTGAAATAGTATAAATCTCAAATTGTTCGATGTCATCCCCAGATGCTAGAAGTTTTTCATTGTATTACTAAACTAAGATCCTGACATCAAGTACATGATATCAGCCTAGATTAAACTGAAAAATTCTTGAAGGATAAAGAAGCAGATCACACAAATTGGAGACTCCACCAAAGGAATTAACTGCAAATCTTTAGTGATAGCTAAGTGAATTTGTCAAAGTTCTTTACATGAATGTGCTAAATTTATTTTGCTCTATTTGCTAGCTTTGTGTTTATTTAAGTGCTAAATGTGTGTTGTCATTAATCTCCCAATTGGTGGTGTTGTTGCAGTCCGTGACTTAAAGGAGGCAACAACTATGTTTGCCCGTGCAATTGGTATTGATGTTGCAGTCCGCAACTTAAAGGAAAAGTTTTTTGAAGAGTTGTTGAAGATGCTTGACCTTTCCAAAAGTGAGAGACGCAATGCCTCGAATATGTTGGCTTGTGACTTCGATCTTCCTAACATTTTTTTTGGCAATGCATAAGGCCGAGAAGATAGAATTATTTAGAGGAATATTAAGCGGTGTTATTTGAACATATCTATTTGGATGGAGAATTAATTTGTACTATGTTGAAAGTTGTATGATGAACAAAATTATATTTATTTGGTTATTGGAACAATATACACATATTTTTTTATTTTTTTCTTGGGTAAATTTTTATTTTTATTTTTTTGGTGAGAACAAGAATATGCATGTGTATGATAATGAAATTTATGCATTTCAGTTTTTTTTATTTGTTTATCAATTTTAAATATTTTTTGGTGAATTTTATGTGAGTTAATTGTGCATTTAATCTTACTTGTCAAGTTCTACAATTAATAGGAGTATTCATCATGAGGTAGTATGTTAAATTAAGTTGGAAATTCCATGATAAATTTTTTTTTATATTTTGGCCAAATTTCATTCTATTCTAGCATCAATAATTTAATCCAAACAAAGGAATGGAATGTGCATTCCATTCCAAGATTTAATCCCAAGTTAATTGCCAAATAGGGGAATGATAATGCTTATTCCATTCCATTTCCAATGTCATTCTGTTATCTTGTACATTCTATTCATATTTAAAAGTATTACCACGAACCAAATGCAACATAAATATTCATTCCACGTTTACAGATTGAATATTGCATGCAGTATATAGTTGTGAAGTACTTTTTTATTTTTCTGTTAGTTAAGTTAACATACTACCTCATGATAGTTCTCAAGCGATTGCTTGTAGATGGGTTTAATTGACTTATTTCACAACTTTCTTAGATGAAATTTTAAAGCGATGAATATACAAAATGATGAACTAATAAAATCAGATTCTTTTATTAATTCAATTGAATGAGTTTCAGTTATAGAGAGATTGAATTAATAGTATTTGATTACATCAATACCTACTTCCTAAAAACTAATTTTAGCACTACTCCTAAATGTCCAGATCGTGGGTTTGTGGGGGGGGGGGGGGGGGTTGAGTTGTTTATTTAACTTCCTTCTTTTATAGCCACTCTCTTCGATGATTTTTCCTTTTATTGATGGTTAATTGACTTTGTAACTCCCAGACAATTATTCTTTCTTTTAAACAAAAGTTGTGGCCGATTATTTCCCGCATTTTTTTCACACGTGGCAACTTTTTAATGATTTCAAGTTTGCCAACAAAACATGCATCAAATGTCTTAATAACTTTGTATTTTAAGTCTAAATAATGCCCCCTCATTTATTTGGGTTTATCTCGTAACTAACCCAAGTAAATGAATTGTCACATCTGTTGTTCCCCTTTCACTATTTCTCTTAAGACAACTCCCAACGGCACTTCATTCAAGCAGGTAAGTGAACAATCAGTAACCGCTAAAGACCCCTAAACCACTATTTAAAAGGCACAATCACTGTTTTTACCTACCCAAGTCCTTACCCCTTCTATTCTCTTCCAATTCACCCTTGGCAGTTTCTCCTTGGCTTATCTTCAAAATCTAAATATTTCTTTGATCCGCAAATGGCATCTAAGCGGAAAGCAGAACAAGTCATCACTGTTGTCCCTCCTTCAAACACATCACCTGTCCTTCGATTCTCTGTTGACCTTCGATATGCTATTCGAAACCTAGTTGGCGATCGAATTCTAATTCCTTCTGAGGATTCTGGTTCCAACTTTGCCTTAGGTTCTGCTTTTAAGACTGATATGTCTCTAGCATTATCTGAGCATTACCTCATTGCGCATGGAGAAGTCCTAACGCTTCATTGTCCTCAACTTCGATGGAAACATTGGGATCAAGGGCTCGCCCCCTTGAAAACTTGGGTTAACCTAAATCAACAATTGTCTAGTTGGGTGGAACGAATGGAGGCACACTTCTCTGAACAGTGGAAAAAACAAAGGATTATGAGCAAATCAAGTTCTCCACTTGCCCATTATACATGAATCGGTGGCTCATAGGAGCAACTAGTTGCTTCTTGTCAAAATCCTGCAATGCTATGCTCCTTCCTCTTGGTATGATGTCCCATTCAATCCTCAATGTCGTGCACCTTATTGGGCTCTCGTCGATAGGGATTGAAGTAACTACAAATCTAAAGCCTGATCGAATTCTGATAGACATTCCTACCAATTTCAACTATTCAGATCACCTCATCTTCTTTTATAGGCCAAATTCTGGCCCTCTTTCTTAGGAGGAACATGTTGCTTTTCTCCTCCATTGGCTTTGTCGTTTTGTCCTTTGTGTCCCTTCCCTAAGGTCACAATCAAATATTACAACATTGCCATCTTTTTAGCTAACCGCAAGGTCTTGGCCTTAGCTCCTTTTGTTTTAGGGGATCTTTACAAAGGCCTTTTTGACATGGCTGAAAGAGGTATTGAC